TTGTGAAGTGATTGAAGATACAGTAGAAAGGTACCAAACAAAAGAACAGTATGTGCTGAAGGACTGTGAATCCGTTTTTCAGTAATGGAATACTTCATTAGTATTTATATATTTAGCTAGGATGGCCATGAGTGGCATTTGAAAATGACATTGATACCAGATGTAAAATAAATCAGCTTGCTACATACCATGATAAGTTTTTTATTCAGATATACAGATACTGTTTTTCATATAGACTTCTCATAAGATTGACGAATAAACAGAAGACTAAAATGTAAATAAATGATAGGGAACAGTTGACAGTAGGATGCTATATGGTTCAGAACCAGGATAAATACTATTTCATATATTAAGTATGCAAAATTTGCAAATTATTAAAAGATTAGAACAATCTATTAAGGAAAACTAAAAATATAGAGGGATATAATGAATGCAGATAAAGGAGAAGCTTGATGAGAATTTTGGTATTAAGTGTAATCTGTCATAGCAGAAGACATAATTTTACTAATCTTATAGAATTTTGAGCGAAGCTACAATATGGTGGGAGAGAAATAGATGTTACTTGAAGGAAGGATATGATGTATAACTATAGAAAGTAAAACATGGGACAGAGCAAGTAAATCAGTGTTTGTTATTTATTTTATAGTGCAGGAATGATTTCCTGTTACTGTAAAAGATGACACCTCTAAAATTGATATGAGTAAATACATCTTGGGACTTATTGCCACAAGGTATTGCAAGCCAATGGCATTTGAGGTAGAGTTTAGGTATTTGTTCGAGTAACAAACATTCATAGATAAAAACAATTTCAGAGTGAGAAATATATATCAAAGCTTTGGCACATAAGCAGATTGGGTGATGCTGTGTGGCAAGGAGGACCTGTCCTTGCTAGCAGTGCTCTGGTACTGTGAGGGCCCTCCTGGACCAGTGCCTCGTCCCATACGCAGTCAGACCTTGGCGGGGTCCATTACGCAGGATGGCTCTTGCACCTTCTGGAATGCTTATTCAATGTTAGCATTGTCACATAAGGATATAATGTATTCCATGTAAACATGTGCATTCTTATAGGTAATAAGAGGAGGTGTGCAGTACTTTGTGCATTATATTTGATGCTTTCATTTCCGGTATTGATGACAATATCAGACATAGCATAGAGGTGCTAATTTGCATGCAGGATGTGCCACTAGCAAAGGCATTAAAGCTCCACAGTATAGCAAAAGGCATTATTTAAAGTCTATAAATCTACTGTTATTTTTACATTGAATTCTTTCTCTTTTAATTTTTAACTTAACTCCTTTTAACTCCAGGAGAACAATGTAGGAATGCTTATAATATTAAATTACTTACTGTCTATGATCCCCTATAAAATTCTGTGCAACATAAATGCCAAGTGTATACCTGATAACTTGCAGTTAGTTATTATATGCTGACATTCAGAACTGAATTACTGTGCATAAATATTAATTTGTTTTAAACATCATTGATTAGACTCCAGTACAGAGCCCTATTATTTCTACTTGTCAAGTCCACAAAAAATGGTTTTTTTTATCTTTTGTTCTGGGGCAGGTGTTATCCTATCATGCAACATGTTCGAAGGCAGAAGTTGATAAATTTAAGGTAAGGATTTAAGTTTTTAGTGATTTCTGAAAATATAGCAGTAAATTAAAATGGATGCAGATTATCTGAGAGAAATGTTTTACATGAAGAGCAGAAAATCGTAATTAACAATGATTTACAAAGGATGTATTATATGTTAGGTTGTTAGGCAGGGAAGGTAGAAAAAAAATCTTTCAAAAGATAAAGAGCTGCAGCGATGGGCGCATAGTGGCAAAATATCATTGTCCCAGCACCAGCTGCTGGAACTGCACATCAGCATGGCTTTGGTGTCCTCAGCAAGAACCCCCATGGGGAAGTCGTACCACAGTGGGAGGTGAAGAAGAGACAAGAGGAATTTGAGACTTTATGTGCTTATAGTGTGGAAGCTGTCCTGTGCCTACTAAAAAAGCAGAGCATTCGCTATCAAGATTGTGTACAGGCTCAGAAGGCTGGACATGAAGGTGAGAAATCCTCTTCTAACTTCTGTAAGTGCTCTGGGCAGAATTGTAAAGTGATGTGTGCTGAACATAGCATTGCTAGGGACCAATAATTACGTATTCTCACTGAATCCTGCCTTGCCAAGAGGTAGAGAGTAGGGGGAATGGTGACCTTGCTCTTTCATCCCTGCCAGCTGTCTAGAACTGCTTTTGTGATAGGCTTTGCTTGTCCTTTTCTGCTTGAAGAAACACTAGGGAAACTTGGCGGCACTTTCCTTGGCTATGAGGAATCAGAGTTGCAGAGGGCTCCTTGGCTGTTTCGGCGGTGTTTCTGGTGGGTTTCGGTGTTGGTCTCCTGTACGCAAAGTGTATTGGAGACTGTGGCAAGGTCTGGGAAGGAGACCTTGACTTCTGTGACCCTGCATGGCTGGCATTCCCTTCTGTGGCTCCCTGGCACCTATCTGGCTGAAAAATACCTGTTTGATGGTTGTTTTGATATTTGGCTGGCTGGCTGCAACCTGATCTTTGCACTGTGGGGATGCCTGCGGTGGAAGGGGGAAGCTGTGGGTGACATGGAGCTGATACTGATGTGTTACCTGGGTTGAAGAAGGGCAGCTAGTTAGTTATTAGTTTGTAGATTATTGCCCAAACAATGTCTGTGCCTTAGAACTCTGCATTGATACCTGGTGATAAGGGTGTAGTGATCTCCCTCCATTGTGGTTACTGGTGCAGTTACCCACCCTTTTGTAAGGTGAAGATTAGATCACTGAATTTTGCTGGCATCAAACATGCTTGAAGATCATTCCAACACTGCAGCCAGCAGAAAATACTTTTGTGTGCTTGATAAATTGTATCATGTTTGGCTAAAAGAACACTGTGTGAAAGGGAGGGGAAAGAAAGGAATAAAGCACTGTAATTTTTTTTAATTTTAGTTTACCTTAGAATTGCACCTGTAATTTAGCTTCTGTGACTGTCGGGATTCAACCAATATCTTGCTACATACCAGAGGGCCATAATTATTGGTTGCTGTCAGACATTGAAAGACAATTCTCCATCATGGTCTGTGTAGTTGAAATAAAAGCCTGCTATATTACTCTTTGGATTTAGATACTGGTGTGATGAGGAGCTAGTCTACTTGTTTTCCCAGGTGTCTTCATGAATAGGTTTGCATATCTCCAAGCAAGGAATGTCTTGCTGTTATCCATTTACCTTGAACGCATGTAACTATCTATTTGACCATTAATGATAAGGTAAAGGGAAATGAAAAGCATTTATTTGTTAATAACCCAGGTAAATACATTCTTTAGTAAAGAACACAGATGAGAAAATGAGGAATATAACCAAGCTATGCTTAAACTAAGCTGAGATACTTTTTTGAAAAATTTCCTTTTCCTATATTCAGTTTTGTCGATATCCAGTTGTCTCGCTTTCAATTCCTGACAAAATGAGTGCCACATAGTCTTCGTTAATGCTTTACACCACTGGTTGTAAACAAAACAAAAAGCCAGAGAGGACCAGCGTGTCCAGTTTGGGGGCCTTCAACAAGAGAGCTCATCCCCAGAGAGGTTTGTCTATCTGTGGTCTGAAATTGCTCCCGTCACCTCCCTTGCAGAGCTCTGGCAGCTGGTCTCCCTGACAAGGTCTCCTGGGGCGTCCTACCCTGAAATCGCTGCTCTTTTCTCTGTTCGTTATATTTTGTATAAGCCCTTTGTTATATTAGGGTCATCTTCTAGACTTGACTGGCTAATAAACAATTCCTCCCTCTGGGGCTGTTTGGGGCTAAAGCTGTCCCTCTCCCTTTGGTGATTTATTGGCAGATGTCAGAGGAAATGTGTGTTACAATTTACCCGATGTTCCGGTACAGTCAGAACAGAAACAAACACACAGGGTAGAAACATCTAAATGAGAGTAATGATAGTAGTTCACTACTGGTTCTTGACTGACATGGGACCTAACAGTAATTAATGACTCTGGAAGGACAATGCATTTGAGTTGACAACTTTTCAACACATTACCCCAAACATACTGTAACTGGACCGCAACAGCTTGGAAATAATTACATATTCTTCCTCCTAGTTAAAGTTGTTTATTTCCATCTTTGTAATCTTATTTCTTTATTGTCTTAATAAAATGCTTTTCCATTAATTTTTATTTGCCTAAGATCTCAAGCATATTCTGATACAAAGTGAAAAATTGCAAGTGTACTTGAAGTTTATTTTTCCTCTGGCTTTTACCAGTGAATTAATTTTATTGCATTACAGAAAGCCTAGCAAGAATAGTTAAAGTTGATTTTTTTTTTTTACTTGAAATTTTGTCAATAATTTCCTGCTGTTAGAGGATGAATTCACATATATACAAATTCAAACACACCTGGTATCTTTTTAAGAATTAAAAGTAGTCACTGTGAGCAGGTTCTGTAAAATAAATAACATTTATTTCTGTTGCTACTAATCCTATCTAAGGATTAATGAAACCACAAAATAAGTCACCTTAATAAGAAACCCTTAAACGAAATACCTTTCTCTAGATGGTAGGATGGGGAAAAAGTGCAGATCACCCTTGGTTGTGGAGCTGGAAAATGCAGAAGGAAGTTCAGGCACTCATGTTTCATTGTTCTATACTCTGATAATGGACCATGTCATGCAGTTGGCCCATTCCATATCTGATTTGTACAATTGTCTAAAAACAAGGTAGCAACATGGATTCACAATTAATGTTTTTTTGCCCATTTTTTAAGATATTCCACTTCTGGTGTTATTAGAATATAGCTTTCATTAATGAAAAGCTGAAAGCCATGTTTAAAAATGCTTATATGGTTAGAAATTGTTCTATTAATGAATGGATTTTTTTTTTTTCTCAGAAGAGAATCCAGTTATGTGAATCATTACTGTAAAAATTCATGTCACCAGTCCTTTTCATTATTTGCATTAAGGCTTTTGGGATTCATTAGCCCTTACGCTAGCAGGCACGCATTTCTGCGGAGGTCAGCGCAAGCAGGAGCGGGGTGAATCCCGGGTGCAGCTCTGCTGACCTGGATGGAGCCACCAGCTCAGTCTGCTGTCCGTGCCCGGGGGAGGCAGGAGTGGAAAATTCACGCCCTTAGCCCAGTGAGCTTGCTTTAGTGATAAGGGAGGGGGCTTAGCCTTCCAGGCAGACGCCAAGTGGAACTGCAGAGATCTGGATTCAGAGCCTGAGCAAATCCCTTGGTCTTTGTAGATGATAATCTGGCCCCAGGGAAGGTAATGGGAGGTTTGCCATTGGTTTCTTTTTTTTCAGCAGGATGTTGCTGTGTTTGGCATTTGTAAAATTGCATAGTAATGTTCCCTCTGCCATCTTCCATCTATTTATTCATGGCGGTCAGTCTTTTATATTGTTTTCTGATAGACCAGGATCTCTGAGGGGAAAAAAGAAGTTAAAATTTAAGATCCAGTCCTCTTTTTCCCAGTTTAAAATGTCCGTGAAGTGAAAACTTGAGATGGCATGCAGTGTAAAATGGGTCCTTTTTCTCTGAAAATGGCTAAGTTTTTAAAACGGGGAAAAACATACAGAAGTTTAATTGATAGAGTTTCCAATAACTGCCAATTGCATCAGAATTAATTATTAATCAGAATTAATTGTATGGTATTTACCGTTATTCCTGTATTTGGGATATGTGCTGTACTTCTGGGTTCTAAGAAAAGGTGTGGGTTTTGTGAATGGCTTATAGGATTAAAAGAAAAGCAATGAAAACATACAATTTATAACAAGTATTGTCCATAGACTCTGTTACCAGATTATTTTAATTGCTACTCAATATTTTTCAACTTTGGGGTTTTTTTAAGATTTAAATTATTATGGCTTTCAAAAAAAATTTAATCCTGATATGCTGCTTAGTTTGTATAAACTGCATAATATTTTTTATGTTTTCTGATGTGCTGCATTACTACGATAGGTTTATTTCTGATACCATTGCTCTGGATATAGGGAGAAAAATTAAACTTCACTTTTCATGGGCATTTGCAAGTGAAACAAAAAAAATCCACCTTGAGTGCAAACATATCTTGCGTATTTGAGAATGTCTGTCTAAAGACTTGAGCCTGATTTATCACAATGTTTCTCCTCACTTGCATCTATGTAACTGCACTAAAGTGAAACTGAATTTTGGCAGGATAAGCTAAAGCACTGCACCAATGAATCATACCCTCATACCCGTATCAATATAGGTATTTTATTTTTTTTAAGAAGTTGGAAATAGGTGTGATTTTAAAAACTGTGGCAATTCGGTTATCTTGTATTTTAGAGTTAATTCCATTATTTCCATTATGTACTAGCCCTAGCATTTAGCATAAGCATTTGTATTACTGGTATAGAAAAATGTAAGACCTAGTGAAGTGTGATTAATATAAGATTGATGCTATCCTATAGCATTGCCCTGTGGTGACAGGTTTCTCCTCATTGAAATGTAGGATCTCCAAGCCTAAAAATAGTTGTCTTTTAGACAAATATAGAAAGCCAAGATACGTGAGTGAAGAATGCGGAATTGTGTCCAGGATGAGATATTTATAGCAAGAGTTACTGACTTCTGAGACAGTAATGAACATGTCC